TCTACATATAACCTCCTCCCTGGGGGATGGAAAGCAGAGAAGTGGGTGAAGGGAGACGTTGGTCGGTGTAAGACATGACAAAATAATAAAAATTAATAAATTATCAAGGGTTCATGGGTGAGGGGGAGCAGGGAGGGAGGGAAAAAATGAGGAGCTGATACCAAAGGCTCAAGTAGAAAGCAAATGTTTTGAGAATGATAAGGGAAACAAATGTACAAACGTGCTCGACATGATGTATGTGTGGATTTTGATAAGAGTTGTACAATCCCGCAATAAAATGATTTAATTATTAAAACAAAAGGACAAGAGGAAAGAAGAGAGCACGGTGAATGTCAGAAGAGACTCTGAAGCTTTTTCCTGAGCCCAGAACAGCTACAGCAAATGGAGGACATGGTTAAGTAAAGAGACAATCACAAATACAGCCCAAGAAGTCAGATTAAAATATAACATTGAAAGATACAAAGACCTGGAGTTAGAATACCAAAAAGGAAGACACACACGCAGCATAGGGATCTCAAGGTGAAAGAACTGGGAAAGAATTCAAGCTTCATGTTGTAATATCAAAATATTGTATGAACGATGAACAAAATTAGTTGGAACTGACTCAATAGTACCTAACAACAATGTGTAAACTATTGAATGATGTAGGAAGCATGAAAAGAAGCAAGCAGGAATACACAGAACCTCTGTACCAGAAAACAGGTCTACATTCAGCCATTTCAAGAGATATTATATGTTTAAAAACCAATGGGCCCGTTTTGTCTTCAGCAATCCTGTTGGGAAGGTGAGCATCACAGAATGCCAGATTGTTAGAACAAAGTATTATTGTGTTAAGGGAGTACGTGAGTCGAGGCCCAATGTCCATCTGCAACCTTTATTCTTAACATATAGATATGAGTACATAGTTCTATTCCCCTCTCAGTATATATATCTATATATATTTGCATATGTAGATGCCTATATTTAGACCTCTATAAATGTCTTTTGCCTCCTGGTTCTTTCCTCTATTTCCTTTTTACTTTCCTCTTGTCCCACCATCATGTTCAGCCTTCATTCGGATTTAGTAATTCCTCACTGCTACATTGCCCTTGATTAAGCCCCACTAGGCATCCTACAACCTTCCTTTCATTGATTTCACTTCACTTGTTGTTCCTCCGTCTCTGGGTTGGTCATCCCCACCTTCCTTTCTCCCACCTCCCCTTCTCCCATATTCACCCCCCTCCACCCCTGGAACCATTGGTCCCATTCTTTTCATCCCTGAATTATTTATCCTGCCTATCTTATCTAGATAGACATGCAGATACATTAAGAGGTGCAAAAACTAGGCAAAGCCAAATAAAACAGCAAAGAAGTCAAAATCAGCAAAACTATAACACCAACAGCAAAAAACAAAAACAAAATAACAATAACAAAAAGAAAGGCACTGACAAAAATGAAAAAACCTATAAATAGTTCAAGGTCCTTCACCCCACTATCATGACCTCAATTCTACCTTACAAATCGGTTCAGACCAGAGCATGCACACTGCTACAGATAAGAGCCTGTAACACAGGGAATCCAGGATAGATAAACCCCTCAGGGCCAACAAGGAGAATAGAGATACCAGAAAGATTTGGGGGTGGGGCGGGGGAGAAAAGGGAATCGATAACAAGGATCAACCTAGAACCTTCTCCCAAGGGGATGAATAATGGAAACTGGATGAGGAGCGATGGAGAGCAATGTAAGATATGGAAAAAATAATCTATAACTTATCAAGGGTTCATGAGGGAGGGCAGTGGGGAGGAAGTGAGGGAAAATGGGGAACTGATATCAGGGGCTCAAGTGGGAAGAGAATGCTTTGAAAACGCTGATGGCGGCATATGTGCAAATGTGTTTGACACACTGGATGAACGTATGGATTGTGAAAAGAGATGTAAGAGCCCCTAATAAAAGTATTTAAAAAAAAAAACAATCCAATGGAACTGAAGGGAAAAGTGCAAGCTACTCAAGGCAGTAGCAAAAATTAAAACTCCGGGAATTGAAATGTTCCACCATGTTTTTGAAACACTGGAAGCACTCACTCACCTATGCCAAGAAATTCAACTGCAAAAGATTATATTTGTACCCATTCTAAAGAGAGGTGACCCAACAGAATGCAGAAGTCATCCAATTAATAGCAATATCACTTGAAAGTAAAATTTTGCTGGAAATAATTCAACAATGGTTGTAGCAATACATTGACAGGGACTTGCCAGAGGTTCAGGCCAATTCAGAAGAGAATATGGAATAATGGCTATCATTGCTGTTGTTAAATGGATCTTGGCTGACAGAATGAAATACCGAAAAGATGTCTTCGTGTGTTTATTGACTGTAAAAAGGCCGTCTACTGTTTAGGTCATAACAAACTGTGGGTGGCATCATTGTGAGGATGGTGCAGAACCAGGCAGTGTTTTGTTCTCTTTTACATAGGGTTGCTATGAGTAGGAATCAACTATAAGGCGTAAACAACAACAACAACAACAAAATTGCTATGAGTTTTAATCAATAGCAATGGATAACCCTTAAAGAGATCATCTTAATAGTAAAATTGTATTTCTTCACTTTCGTGGATGGTTAGAGAGATCTTGAAAACTGATTTTTTTTAATATGAAAATTCTATACTAGAAAATGTACATATTTATCAGATAGTTTATTCACTTTGAGGAGGTTTCTGAACCAAAGTCATAGTAGAGTAACGAAGCCTCAGCCAGAGAGACAGAATACCAACACTCTGTCCCTTCTCTTTCTCTACCCATCTAAAAGGCCGCAAAAGGCCGTCAGGTTTCTCACCTGGATGAAACCTCAAAAAAAAAAATGGGTTCTGTGGGAAAAGGAAGAAGAAAAGTGGGTGTTAGGTAATAGAGGTGAATGAGGCGTACAATTCAGAGACAACCTAAAAGACTATTGAGAACTTGATAATGCTTATCAAGCATAAGAATGGAGAACTTTGCTAATTTTTCTTATAAAGCTAAAAAAAAAATCCCTAATAGGGGAATTATATGATATAGGAACACCACTGCAACATTTACTACCTCTAAAAGGCATAATATGGCTTTGGCAGGTACAGGCTAGTGTGCCAGCAGTTATGGGAAATCACATTGGATAAGCTTGGCACATTGGATAAGCTTGGCACATCATTCTGGAGCATCATATGCCAGTGTAACCTTCTCAGTATTATGGTGAAAATAGAAGCTCTGTTACCCATTTCCTTGACAAGTGCTTTCTAATGTGGCTAACCTGTTGTTTCCTCTAGGAGGCATCCTCCCTGGGTCCTACTATTATCTACACCTTGCCAAGCCTGCAATTCCAACTCCCTTGGCAGTACAAATGGCTCAGCCTGATTTTGTAAGTGTTATTCCTAAATTGTATGAAACTTTAACATGTAGTGCTTTGTTTACCAAAAAAAACCCCTTCAAACCAGTTCAGTGTGTTTCAGTGATGGCCAACAAAGCAACATCAGAACAGATGTGGATTTTTAAGTGTGGGTGAACTGGAATGTTCACTAGAATGGGAAAATTTACAAGTCAAAGCCCAGTTAGAAAGTTATCTCCTTTTTAGAAAGCGAAAGCAGCAGCCATGTTAAATAGCAACCAAAGCTCTTGATTGGCTTGGTCTAAAGCAATGTGTACAGATAAAAGAAGGTACCAAAGCCCACTGCTTGAATATGTGTTACTTTCTACAATCCTAGCAATAATTTAATGTCATACATCAGGCTCCCAGAAGGGCTTACTATGCCTCTTCCAAATGTGTTCTTCCAGGCCTTTGACTCACAAATTTTCCTGTTCCAATTATTATTTCAAATCTTAAATCTTGGAATATTTTCTGGTTTCCCTTCATCTGCCATGACAGGGCCACTTCAGGCCAGATTTAAACCCTGGGTGAAGTTTGGTATTCAAAGGCTTTAGTGTAATGGGTTTGTGTATGCATCAGGAATCCACTATGGGCACCAGCTCCCCAAATGACCACTAATGATTCTCCCCTCCTGGAATGCAAGCTTTTGTGTGCCGCTCCTACACTAATAGGGCTGGCCGGTATAGTCAACAGGATGTTGCAGGGAAAATAATGGGACCACCAAGCAAGATCATAAAAATTACAGTTCCCAACTTTCTCCTCCTTGGATCATTTGCTGCCAGGCTCTGAGGTCACTCAAGCAACACTTTGGAGAAATCCTTGTGGTGAGGAATTTAAGACTTCCTGGGAACAGGCATTATCAATTTTCCAGTCATGTGTTTGAACCAACCAGGAAGTGGACCCCTCAGCCCCATCAAGCCTTTATATGATTATGGCCCCAGCTTACACTTTGAGTGTAAACTTATAAGAAACCTTGAGCAAGGACCCTGCATCTAAGCCAATCCCAATTCTTGATGCCCAGAGACTGATTATAAAAGCTCTTGTTGTTTTAAGCCAATAAACTTTAAGGGAATTTGTGATATATCAATGTTGTTGGTTAGGTATCATTGAGTTGGTTCCAACTCATAGCGAACCAATGTTCAATAAAATGAAATCCATTCTACACCATCCTACAATTGTTGTCAAGTTTGAGTCCACCTATGGACCCACTGTGTCCACCTATCTTGCTGAACGTCTTCCGCTTTTTCACTGGCCCTCTGCTTTACCAAGCATGATGTCCTTCTTCAGGAATTGGTCTCCCCTGACCATATACCCAAAGTACCCGAGACAAAGTCTCTTCATTCTTTTCCCCGAGGAGAATTCTGGCTGTGCTTCATCCAAGATAGATTTGTTTGTTCTTTTGTAAGTCCATGGCACTTTCAATATTCTTCAACACCATAAATCAAATGTGTTGATTCTTCTTTGATCTTCCTTATTCAATGTCCAACTTTCACATGCATATGAGGCTATTGAAAATACCCATGGCTTGGGTCAGGCATACCTTAGTCCTCAAAGGACTATCCTTGCTTTTCAACACTTTAAAGAGGTCTTATGCAGTATATTTACCTAATATAATGTGTCCTTTGATCTCTTGATGCTGCCATGAGCATTGATTGTCTGATGAGTTATAGTTACTGTTTAGTCAGTGACCCCAAGATAATTTTTTAGCCAGTGACTCTGGATAATTAAAATACAACCTACTTAAAACAGAATTTTAGTATGTCTCCTTGAAGATAGCATTGACCATGTAGCACATTCTGGCCAGTAAGACATAAATATAAGTTGTTGGGTTGTGGTTCCAGGGAAATTCCTTATAGGAGGCAGATTCAAATAGTACAAGCTTCTTACTCTTATTCTTTAGAATGTTTGAATCCCAGCTCTTCCATTTAGTTCCCATGTGACCTAGAACAAATTATTTAAACCCAAGCTCTAAGCATGATTATTCCTCACTAGCTTTATCTGACTCAGCTATGGAACTCACAAAGTTACCATTTTCACATTGGCTGAAGCAGATTCTTCAAGAACACTGAATAATCTCATAGAGGTGGTAGTTAAACAATGGGCAGCTAACCATAAGGTCAGCAGTTCAAACCTACCAGCAGCTCCTCGGGAGAAAGATATGGCTCTCTACTCCTATAGAGAATTATAGTGTCAGTACCTACAGGGGCATTTTTATCCTGCAAATAGGGTTTCTATGAGTCTGCATAACACAATAGCAATAAGTTTGGTTTGGGGTTGTGGCTCTATGAAACAACAAAAAGGGGTGTTTTAAATAATGTTAGGATACTAAATGTTAGCATGGAGACACAGGAGAGACAAGATGAGAGACTTAAGGATGAGAAACAGGTTTATTGGAGGAAGCTTGAGAGGGCCCTCTGACCTGAGTCAAAAGGCCCTCCCTGTACAGACTAGCAGGGTTTTATGGTTCTAATCAAGGGGGTAGTCTTCTGGTACATTGTAGTCAGGGTATTGTAGTTTGGGCTAATTCTTGGTTAGGGTCATCTGCAGGCAAGAGAGAGATTATTGAACAAGATGTTTCTTCAGGTGGGTGTTTGTATGGTTTGCACAAGAAGATTTTGGGGTGTGGCTTGCACTCGGAGGCATTATCCCTCGAATAATAAGAGTTTAAATTAAAATGCAATTTAAATAGATTTTTTGGCTGGTTGAATAGGCTGCAGAATATCTAAACTGATTTTGTTACATTTAATTATTTGATGGTAGGGAGGGGGAGTAAGATTATTCCATGGAAATCTTTGAGTTTGAAATTAATTTGATTATGTAAGATTATTGCCAAAATATTCAGGCAGTTGATCAAGAATAGATGATATGAAACAATATTTAATTAGAAAAAACTAAATTACTATTTAAAAATAAATTTATTAAATGTTTAAGTAAGAATACACTTAAATAATTCATGATCTGTTTGATAGGTAACCTAACAAAAGGAAGAAAGGAGACCCCAATAGTCTACATAATAAACTAATTTACAGATTCCAGTCCACATGCTTTGTTGGCTTATATGCCATGGAATAAAGAAATTTGTCACAACAAATTCTGCCTTGGATACCATAAAATTAAAATTGTATGTTAATCATAAGGACAGAGAACTTGACTGACTGAATATCAAGTATGATTAATTCTAATCTTTGTCAAAATCATAAAGTAACTTACAAGGGGTGGGGAACAAAGCAAAATCCAGACCCAATTACCCTATCAAAATAGAAAATTCAAGGTCCAAATTTCCTAATAATGTCCTTAGAAGCTTAAAATAAAAAAGATGCTACACACCCCTGTTGTTGAGCAACATCAAAGAGTCTGTTTAAAGTAAAAGTGGCAGAGGTTTATTAATGGATAGAAAGTAACCAGAATGGGAAAACATCCAAACTCAGAGTGAAAATGGCTGCTCTAACAAATAATAAGAAAAAACATTTTTGTACAGTTGGAGCAGGAACTGAAAGATACAAGATCATAATTGTCTGAAGACAATCAAGGGGTTGAAAGTGTGGGTTTAGCAGGAATAGGTGGATAACATATACATTTATATGGGATTACATGGTCAACTGCATGGTACACAATTGCGAGTGGATGTGTTCTTCAGCTTATTGCAGGGTGGTCACAGGACAATGGCAAAGTGGGTTTGTTCCAGAAATTTGCTATAAAAATTGTTCACTTAATCATGGAACAATTGTAAAGATTTACCAATAAAGCTACACATCAAGACCCATTGTATGTAAGTTATGACATCTTGCATCTGTTTGGCCATACTGGAAAGATTCTCTGTAAATCAATTGTGATCCTGCACCTGCCAGACCTCACATAAAAGGAATGTCTCCTTCTCAGTTTAGGGTTAGGTTACCATCCAGGTTAGGTCAGCATCAGGGTTAGAGGAACTGCTGTTAGAAAAAGAGAACTTTAAATTTCAATGTGGATCCTAGATTCATGTCAAGATTTTAATATAGAGTTAGGACTCCGCTTTCAGGCTGATCTGTTCATAGATATAAGTGCCTCTGGTTTCTAAAATCTCATACACCCCACAGAATTGGAACATGTGTAAAATGGTCATCATCCTCCTGATGGAATGGCAGGACTCATAGCTGCCTTACGTCATCATTGAGTGAAGTGTTTTTTTGTAAGGATTGGACTACATTGTTAGCAACTGGAATTTCCTGATCTGTCAGCAATGCTGAATATGAAGACTTGGGAATGTAGATAGGTCTACCCTGTCCTACAAAGTGAATCACTAATTTCACTGCCATCAAGTTGATTCTGACACCTATCAACACTATAGGGTGAGTAGAATTGCCCTTAGGGGTCACTTGGTAAACAGGTTTCAGCAGTGCTTCCAGACTAAGAACAGACACGGAAGAAGGAACAAGCTGTCCACTTCTAAGATGTTGGCCACTGAAACCCTTAGGAATTGCAGTAGACCATTGTCAGATATAGTGCTGGAAGATGAGCCTCTCAAGTTAAAAGACACTAAAAAAGGACTGGAGCCAACCTAAATAATGTGAATGGAATAATACTTTCAGACATTCCCCAGCTGCAACAGAATGATTCAAAGTGGGAACAGCTGGAAACAGCCATTAATAATCAGAACATGGAATGTACTAAGTTGGAAAATTATAAGTTGTCAAAAATTAAATGGAGAGTTGTGGGGGGGTAGTAAAAGGGAGACAATGATGTCAAGAAAAAGAATGTTTGGAAACTAGCAGTGTACAAGTCTATGTGGTGTGATTGAAATATGCGATGATATTGTATATTATTAAATTCCGACTAATAAAAATTTAAACAGAACACATAGGAATTGGTGAGTTGAAATGGACTGGGATTGGCCAATTTGAGGGGACACTCATCTGCTTTACTGTGCCTTAAATGACAAGTCCCAGGGGAGTGGCGTCATAGTCATTTTCCAAAAGATCATTTCAAGATCTGTCTTTGATAGGATAATCACTGTA